ATATATGGTATAATATAATAGCAATAACCCCCCGCCGAAGTTGGGTATACCACTTGATATTGCACAATTCACTCCATATATGCACTCGCCTGCGGCTCGTGCATATATGTCGTGAATTGTGCAATATCTCGTGGTATACCCGCCTTCGACGGGGGTTATTGCTTAAGTATACCACCACCATATACCACCATATTATGGCTGTATCATTCCATTACCTCTAACTACTAGTATATCACCACCATATACCACCATATTATGGCTGTATCATTCCATTACCTCGAACTACTAGTATATTACCACCATATACCACAATATTATGGCTGTATCATTCCATTACCTCTAACTACTAGTATATCACTACCATATACCAACATATTATGGCTGTATCATTCCATTACCTCTAACTACTAGTATATCACCACCATATACCACCATAATATGGCTGTATCATTCCATTACCTCTAACTACTAGTATATCACCTCCATATATACCACCATATTATGGCTGTATCATTCCATTACCTCTAACTACTAGTATATCACCACCATATACCACCATATTATGGCTGTATCATTCCATTACCTCTAACTATTAGTATATCACCACCATAATATGGGTGTGTCATTCCATTACCTCTAACTACTAGTATATCACCACCATATACCACCATAATATGGCTGTATCATTCCATTACCTCTAACTACTCGTATATCACCACCATATACCACCATATTATTGCTGTATCATTCCATATGTCCTAACTTTCACACTTGCATGCACCAATATTATATGGCTATATCACTATCAAGCTTTAACTTCATCGGCATAATACATAATGCACTGCAGTAATCATATTCCATTTATATTATTCAATCCATCTAAACTCATGTATCGCCAGATACCCCCCCCCCCCCGTCATTAAATTCCTCTACCAATTTGACGTACTGCAGGTAAATTATACTGTATTCATTTGGAATACTTGTGTCATACGGATAATGAGAATAATATTTTTATAATATAGGTGCCGGAATATTTCAATAATATGTCATCACGGTATTACCGATATCGATCAATGGAGTCAATCACGGAGTACAACTCTACACTTGAGCCGCAGGTAAGCATGTGACGAGTACATACCTTACACGAACAATACTGCTACCTTGTCACGTGGTTTACAACTCCTGCCAGTCTCGAAATTCAATCCCCACAAACTTCGAGAGCTACAACTTGACTCATTGGCAACCATTCCTGCTAAACCTAGAAACATATCTTTTCAAAACCTTGTATATACTCATGATAGTCAGTCAGGTTATTGTGTGTTTTAATTTTGATAAATCGAAAATGCCATACCTGCAATAGCTAATTCGTGACACACCAGTATGTTTGTTTATCATATTAGCCATTCCTGCTAACCTCAGTATCCTGTTTATATATAATCCATAAACTGGTTTCAACACGTCATATATATAACTCATTGGGTTATCGTGACATGCTTTGTAGAGATTTTGGAGTTCCCAGAAATCAACCAGCAGAACGTAGCAACAAGTATTCTGTTATTGGTTATTTAAAGCGGGGGAGTCGTCACCTACCAATGCATCAGATGGCCATAGCGTGTCATTGTTTACAAACAAGCGTCTACCCATGAGCCTTTGCGTTTTAGCGTGTGTTGTTATCGTCGTTTGGGACTCGATTCCCGCGCGTGTGCAGGTGACGACCTTCCCACTTTAAGTTTGTGAGTGTTGAACGAGATCTCCCATGGAAGTTGTTAAGATCGTTGGGCTGTCGCGATCAGACAATTACAAAAAAAAATAATATTAGAAAAATAATTGAAAAAAAATAATAAAATCACACAGCAATTACAATTTTAAAAATGTAAAAAAAATGAAAAAGCCGAATCAATTGGGTTGGGTCCCTGTGTAAGCGACTAGCGTGTTTTTATAGGAATTACTATTGTATTTGTGTATGATATTAGGATATGGCAAATATATGAAAAATACCGCAAACTATATCAATAACATCATGTCTTTTTGAGCAATCTATCCAACATATCGACCTCTCCGTTTATCAATCAACCTGGGCACTGGTTCGTTGCTGTGGTCACTCCGCGACAAAACACTAAAAGAAAAAAATACAAGAATTTTTTTGGCCGGGGAAACATGCTATTAAGAAGATTAATGTTGGAATTATTCAGCCAACGTATAAATATTGAACAAATAAAACATTTTTTTGATTGATAACACTCTTACACTAATTGGATTTCCCGCGCTGTATTTTCACATGAATAATATTTTGAAATCCGATTTCAATACACATAAAAACAAATGGTGATCTCTAGCACATAAGTGTGCAACACGATATTTCAGTCATGGGAAATGTTTTGTTAAAACAGGTGTACAAACCTTCATTAAAATATCACTAGTCGTGCAGTGTACGTCCTGTTAAATACAGTCACTGTGCTAATATTGATCTATTATTCTACAAAGTCGTGTTGTTGTCTGGTTTGCGTCAAACCGCTTACAAGCCGTATCGCGTGTACGTACAGTATCAGGTCACAGATTGTTTACAGTGTGTGAGATCGTCAAGTCATTTAGTGGGCCAAGATAGGGTGCGCAGACTCTGGCATCGTCTTATTGGAGAGTGGATGATTTTATGGAATATATGGAACAGTCTTAGCGCAGTATCATGGTGAGAATCCGTATTATTGATCGTTATAAGACTAATATAGCAGTGAGTATATCTAGTAGAGTTCCTCCAGCGCGCAGTGTGCTGACGCTTGCTAATAATCAGACTGTAAAAGTTATCGTTTCCACGACTTGGCAACTGATGATGCTTCTCACACTGATAAATTTCAAACATTGCATAGCATGTTTAATAACATATGCTAGTATTCGGATGCACGGCGACTGATGTTAGTGTGAGTTATGTCTACTGGAATAGTGTAACAATGAAGACAACACTGTTCGGGAATGCTTTTAATCGACCCCCTGGGGCCCTTAAAAACATACTTTTTTACTTTCCTCGGGTTTCATTTTTTAATTATTGAAACCAGCTGCTACGTGACTACGCATTTCAAATGGTTCCTGAGACCCGGAGCAGTTGTCCTCTTATTAATTAATGAAGTCCGGTCTAATATAAGAATCTTGCTTCTCGTTTATTCTGCAATTGAAAGTATTTTTAATGAGAATCATCATTAGTCATTTACAGCCGGAAACCACATGCAATTACTAAACGCAAAGGTGTATTGCTCGTTATTCACTCGGGTCGTTAGCCGATAACAGTAGGGAATGATGAAACGTCAAAAATATTAAATATAAAATAGACGGGATCGCAGCGTCAATGGCAATGTTTCCCTCTGTACTGCCCACCACTAAACCGCGATTTGCGATTGCTTCACATTTAATCCAAGTTTGTGTAATTTACGGTTTTGTCGTAAGGTCGTACGGTAAGGTAACCTGTACCAAACCTTACCCAATTATGTTAGTCCGAAGTAACGCAAACCATTATAACTCAAGTTACAATTTGTATGATGTTTATTTTTCTACTGCCTATGGTATTGCAATATAATTGAGTTTAATTAATTGCATTTCTATATGGGAATGCAGTTTAATTAACCATGTTCGGTAGCCATGTTCCATTTGCATTGTTGACTCGCAATCATTATTAAGGCAAAGGCGGGGTTCATAAATTCCAAACGTGCAATTCGAAAATGCACCTGTTTCAAGTGTGTCAAAAATGTCAAACGTACAAGCGGCGCTGAAAACATTTTTTTTAATCTTGCAGTCAAAATATTACAAAACGTACGTGCGAATAGACGGGGAAAATGTCAGATGAACAAACATTATTACGGCAAAGTCGTGTCTTGAAAAATGCCAAACGAGTATGTCGAGAATATAATGGCGAAATGTGAAGATAACAATGTAAACTTTTTAAACTATCAAACGTCCAGTTTTCTGAAAATCCGAACACTCAAGTCAAGCAAATTTCAAAAATGCAATTTTCAATGATTACAAACGTGAAACTCAAAAATCTAAAAATGCCGAACGTAAAAAGCTAAAATCGTCATGTATTGGCCATCAATAAATTACCCACTGATAAAACAAAACGGGTCATAGATTTCCAAGTATCAAACCATAATTATTTGATTAAAATGCCGCTGATCGACAAGTATTTAAACTACAGTCAACAATGTTCTCCTGCCTCCATGTTGTGGTTATTATTGGATACGCAATGTAAATTGTAACGAAGGCCCGCTACGTTTCTTATTGACCGACAAAATTCTCGGACGACGCTACGTCAGTGAATAAATAAATAATTATAATCGGATTAAAAAGTGTGGAATTTTAGTTTGTGAAAATCGGCGTTAGGTCTAATTGTAGGAATCAGACATGACGACGCCATTAGTATGATCACCCCCCCCCCCTTCTGACTTGAACGCAGTTTGAGTTGTGCTCAATCCTATCCGTGGGATAAATGACATCGAACGATTTAATACGATAATCCAGGTTAACTAGATTACAGAAAACTGCCTAATAAAAAATAATGCCATATACTCACAGCTGTTTTTGTCATCCATATGTGGTAGCCTATGGCATCACAGGTATCTAGAAAGTGTGAACACAAAGGCGATTTACATTGAACATTGAAATAATACAAGGAATTGAATATGAAGAGGAAATTATATATATATATATATATATGTTCATTTATTTGGATCATTGTATCGTGCCCTCCTAAATGACGGTATCCAGTCTGTCATATCATAGTAGATCAACTGACAAAGAAGTAGTAATTAGGTCCCATATGTTCTACTGCACGGATCCCTAGGCAATTATTCAAACAACGAGCCTTCAAAAATAAATTATTAAATGTTTCAAAAAAGGGCGACTCTTAGCCCTGAATAATATCAGAGCTAGAGAGTGAACGTAATGAACGCCATCTACTGTGACGAAACTCGTAATACA